AACCCTTTGATCGCCCCTCATGTTAACCCCTTCCTGCCCTGTGCCATTAGTACAGTGTCAGTGCTTTTTTTTTTTTGCACTGATCACTGTATTGATATCACTGGATATGTCAGTGACACCAAGTCAGTTCCTCCCAGTGTCAGAATACCCACCACAATCCTGCAGTTCCGCTATAAGTCGCTGATCACCGCCATTACTGGTAAAAATGAAAAACAAAATCCCAGTATATATACCACCATTTGTAGACGCTATAATTTTCACGTAAACCAATTAATTTACACGTATTGGGATTTTTTTTTTTTTTACCAAAGACATGGAGCAAAATACATTTTGGCCTAAATTTATGACGAAATTTGATTTTTTAAATTTTTTTTTACTGGACATGTTTAATAGCAAAAGTCAAAAATAAAAAACGCACAGGTGATCAAATTCCACTGAAAGAAAGCTCAATTCGTGGGGGAAAAAAGGATGTAAATTTAATTTATGTACAACGTTGCATGACCGTGCAATTGTCAGTTAAAGTAACGCAGCGCCGTATCGCAAAAAATGGCCTGGTCAGGAAGGGGGGAAATCCTCAGGAGAGCAATAAACATGATTCTCCTCCGCTAAACCCCGCCGGGTCATCCTCTCAGTCACTATACACTCCTCTATGCAGAATGCCGCACTTTCTCTTTAAAATGAACGAACTTTTTAGTTAAATTTTCATAACTTTTTCACCCCCATAATGTTAATGGTACAGTCCAAGTCGGGGCATAACACAAATGATAGGGCGATACCACTTCACACACATAGGAGGGGAAAATGATACCCTGAATCAGATGACTCGTCTCGTGACATTTGCTGCGGGTCATACCACTCTCTCCTGACCGATGGGGGAGTCGCACAGCATTTTTGGTTATCCTCTCATCGATTTCCTCTATAGATCTGCGAGTCGCTATTTATTTCATTCGTGTAAGACTGAAGACATGACAGACCGGTACATTTGTATCTCTATGGCTATGCTTCCTTTTTTTTGTAAGGACCGAGTTCACTCACCCCCCGCATTACAGGACCCATGTGATCGCCCAGCGAGCAGGAAGGCAGGGAGTCATGTGATGTAAACATGGAGAGCTGACAGGTGGGTCTGTGAACTAGGTGGAGGGGGTATTGGGGCGTTAGGGGGTAATGAATAATGAGGTTGAGCTTGTGGGGGGGAGGAGAGGGGCTGGGGTGGTGGTGTGTGTGTTTGGGTGGGGGTTAATGGGGCCTGGGGTGGAAGGAGGGATGATGGGGGGCTGGGTTGGTAGGAGAGATAATGGGGATCTGAGGTGGAAGGAGGGATAGTGGGGGGCTGGGTTGGTAGGAGGGATAATGGGGGTCTGAGGTGGAAGGAGGGATAATGGGGGATCTGAGGTGGAAGGAGGGATAGTGGGGGGGCTGGGTTGGTAGGAGGGATAATGGGGGTCTGAGGTGGATGGAGGGATAGTGGGGGGATGGGTTGGTAGGAGGGATAATGGGGGTCTGAGGTGGAAGGAGGGATAGTGGGGGGGCTAGGTTGGTAAGAGGGATAATGGGGGTCTGAGGTGGATGCAGGGATAGTGGGGGGCTGGGTTGGTAGGAGGGATAATGGGGGGTCTGAGGTGGATGCAGGGATAGTGGGGGGCTGGGTTGGTAGGAGAGATAATGGGGGTCTGAGGTGGAAGGAGGGATAGTGGGGGGCTAGGTTGGTAAGAGGGATAATGGGGGTCTGAGGTGGATGCAGGGATAGTAGTGGGGGCTGGGTTGGTAGGAGGGATAATGGAGGTCTGAGGTGGAAGGAGGGATAGTGGGGGGCTAGGTTGGTAAGAGGGATAATGGGGGTCTGAGGTGGATGCAGGGATAGTGGGGGGCTGGGTTGGTAGGAGGGATAATGGAGGTCTGAGGTGGAAAGAGGGATAGTGGGTGCTGGGTTGGTAGGAGGGATAATGGGGGGTCTGAGGTGGAAGGAAGGATAGTGGGGGGCTGGGTTGGTAGGAGGGATAATGGGGGTCTGAGGTGGAAGGAAGGATAGTGGGGGGCTAGGTTGGTAGGGATAATGGGGGGTCTGAGGTGGATGCAGGGATAATGGGGGGTTGGTAGGAGGGATAATGGGGGGTCTGAGGTGGATTCAGGGATAGTGGGGGGTTGGTAGGAGGGTAAATGGGGGTCTGAGGTGGAAGGAGGGATAGTGGGGGGGGGGGGGCTCGGTTGGTAGATGGGATATTGGAGGTCTGCAATGCTAGGGGAGATAGTGGGGGATGGGTTAGTAGGAGGGATAATGGAGGTCTGAGGTGGATGCTGGGATAGTGGGGGGCTGGGTTGGTAGGAGGGGTAATAGGCATCTGAGGGGGCTTGGGTGGTGAGAGGGTTAGGGGCGGTAGGGGGGATAACAGGGGGTTAGGGTGGTAGAGGGTATTTTGGGGGTTGTGATAGTGCATCTTTCAGTTTGCGGCACCTTATTCCAGGGACAACTAAGGGCTTGCTTAGACTTCTTGTTGGGGGGGGGGGGGGTTTGTAAAACCAGACAGTTGAGCTGCATTTTTATTGCCCCCCCCCCCTTTATCTGCAAAGGCAGGGTGTGCATATGCTGCGGCCTCGATGTAAAGCAGAAATGATCCCCTCTGTTGGGTTTGGCTGGCAGTGCCACCTCTAAACACGACCCGTTCGAGCAAACTGTGCTTCCATCGCATGCAATGCACCCAATTACACTGCAGGGGTGCTGCATTCACGGGATTAAAGGAGGAGATGAGGAGGTTACCTCTTGTCTCCTCCCTGCCTATCACACTCCTCTGAAAAACAATCCACCACAGATCCCAGCCACACATCGAAACCTAGCTTAAAGGTTCATTCACTTGGGCAAAAACAATCACTGCGTTTAAATGCGCACAGTCTATAGTTCTGTACCGATGTAAATGCAGCACTGCGGTAATCAATGCGCCCTCACACACAGCTGCATGCACATGTGAAGATGTACTCTGCGTTTAGTTGCGCACCTGTGCATCCAGGACCTTGCAGATTTTAGGCATGTTCACTCATAAACGTGTACACACCAAGGGGCGGACTGACAACTCATGGGGCCCCCGGGCAATAGGGGATCATGGGGCCCCTGTGTCCTTGCCCAAACTCAAAAAAGCCTATGAAAAAGGTACCAGGGGCATCTCATGGGGCCCCCTACTGACCCCGGGCCCTCGGGTAGTGCCCGAGTTTCCAAATGGTCAGTCTGCCCCTGGTACGCACATACATGTGTAGTTATTCTTTGGAGTGAAGGGGCTCATTCACACAGACATACGTATTCTCTGCATGCAGTACAGGTTCTCTCTGGCAGATCTAGTGGAGGATCCTGCGTAAAATACGCGCCGAAAGTACTGACGTTTAGATGTGTACAATTCTTCTTTCATTCCAGTGAATGACTACACCAGTGTCTGCTGTGAAATCTGCAGCTCTGGACACGGCTACTGTCCTACCATTTTTGTGTACACTGCTAAATGCATCACCCGTCTTCGCATGTAGACGCAGCTGTGTGTAGAGGCTCGTTGATTACTACAGTGCTGCATTTAGATGCATACAAACCAATATGCTGCATGCAGCATTTTTTCTACCTATGTGAATGAGCCCAAAGAAGAGCTGTATACATCTGAACGTGAGTACTCTGGGTGCATATGTTCCGCAGCATCTTCTGCTAGCTCTGCCAGCAAGAACCTGTGTTCTGTGCAAAAGATATGGATAGGCCCATGTGAATGAGCCCTATACAGGCGCACCTCGGTTTACAAATTTAATTCGTTCCGCGGGACTTTTCTTATTGCGAAAAAAAATTCATAAACTGAAACACGGTTTCCAATAGCAATGCATTGAAAACAAATTAATCTGTTCCGGAGGTCCGAAAAAAGTAAAAAAAAAACGTCTTTTATCTGTTCAAAACTCTTTATAAAGTGCACTTTAAAGGCATAAATACTGTACAGGGACATGATTAAAAATTCGTAAATGCATTGAAAACCAATTAATCCGTTCCGGAGGTCAGAAAAAAGTGAAAATAAGTCTTGTCTGTTCAAACTTCTTTATAAAGTGCACTTTAAAGGCATAAATACTGTACAGGGACATGATTAAAAATTCGTAAATGCATCGAAAGCCAATTAATCCGTTCCGGAGGTCAGAAAAAAGTAGAAAAAAATGTTATCTGTTCAAAACTCTTTGTAAATTGCACTTTAAAGGCATAAATACTGTACAGGGACATGATTAAAAATTCATAAATGCATCGAAAACCAATCAATCCATTGCATAGGTCAGAAAAAAGTCAATATAAGTTATCTGTTCAAAACTCTTTATAAAGTGCACTTTTAAAGACATAAAGGGACACGATTAAACAAAAATTCGTAAATGCACTGAAAACCAATTAATCCGTTCCGGAGGTCAGAAAAAAGTAAAAAAAAGGAGGCTTTTATCTGTTCAAAACTTTTTAAAGTGCACTTTAAAGGCATAAATACTGTACAGGGATATGATTAAAAATTAATTCGTAAATGCATTGAAAACCAATTAATCCGTTCCGGAGGTCAGAAAAAAAGTTAAAAAAAAGTCTTATCTGTTCAAAACTCTTTAAAGGCATAAATACTGTACAGGGACATGATTTAAAAAAATTGTAAATGCATCGAAAACCAATTAATCCGTTCGTATTGCGAAACAAATTCGTAAAGCGAGGCGTTATTTTCAATGGATTTTCATTCGTAAACCGAAAATTATGTTACCCGAGGCGTTCGTAAACCGAGGCACGCCTGTATTTTTGTATTTACACACCTATGTCTTTGTAATTGTGGTTTGTGTCGCTTTATTTTGTGGTTTGTGTCGCTTTATTTTGTGGTTTGTGTCACTTTATGCAATAAATAAAAACAAATTCAATTGTATTTCTTCTTTGTATTTGTCTGCTGACTTCTTCCTGTGAATCCCCCTCTAGATCTTTAGACGTCTTTGAAGCCGGCACTTTGTGGTTTGGCAGATTCCGGGCAGTGGAAATGAACGCAATCGTAGCTCTGTGCCACTTCTGTGAACTCCATGGGCCGCGCACCCTTTTCTGTACAGAGGCCCTGCACTCGCCCATCCCCCAGGGAGCCGGCTGTGGGGATAGTTTGGGTACGGGGGAGCAGGTCGAGGAGGAAGAAGGGGGGATCCAGATGAGCAGCAGGATTCGCTCACACAGCCCTGCGGATGGGGCAAGTGCAGGATCCAACAGCCCGAGGCTCAGGAAATCTGACATGTGTGAAGTGAGTAACATTAAAGGTAACATGTAGCTCTGCTTTGGGCTGCATTTCAAGTAAGCCTTTCGAGGAGAAGTACAGTGACTGCCATGGCTGAAGATGCTAGTTGCCTGGCTGTCCCTGGCTTTATTACTCTGGGGTCACACAGCACGTGAAGTCTGAAGATCTTATCATTATACTTGTTCTGGATCTGTGGCTCTGCTCTTCAATCTCAAGAATTCCACTAATACAGAGTTGACATACACTATATTACCAAAAGTATTGGTCGGCCGGCCTTTCCACGCACATGAACTTTAATGGCATCCCAGTCTTAGTCCGTAGGGTTCAATATTGAGTTGGCCCCGCCCTTTGCAGCTATAACAGCTTCAACTCTTCTGGGAAGGCCGTCCACAAGGTTTAGGAGGGTGTCTATGGGAAGGTTGGACCATTCTTCCAGAAGAGCATTTGTCAGGCACTGATGTCGGGGGAGGAGGCCTGGCTCACAGTCTCCACTCTAATTCATCCCAAAGGTGTTCTATGGGGTTGAGGTCAGGGCTCCGTGCAGGACAGTCAAGTCCCTCCACCCCAAACTGGCTCCTCCATGTCTTTATGGACCTTGCTTTGTGCACTGGTGTGCAGTCATGTTGGATCAGGAAGGGGCCATCCCCAAACTCTTCCCACAAAGTTGGGAGCATGAAATGTATTGCAATGCAGCCCAGAGGAGACATGCAGGGCCTTTTAGACCCTGCAAGTCTCATTAAAGAGAACCTGTCACCTAAAAATCATCACATAGGGGACATGTGATGAGAAAAAAGTTAAGTAAAATATGTGCAAAAAAATAAAGTTACACCTAAGCACATAATATCCCCCCCCCAAAAAAAAAAGTGAGCCCACCCCTACATATACAAATGTAAACGCAAGCGTCGGGGCACCTACACGTGCAAACGATGATTACGATACACGTTACACATCGGCGCGTACGCTGGAGTGAGAGCAATAATTCTAGCATCAGACCTCCTCCGAAACACTAAACTGATGGCCTGTAAGGGGCTTTTGAAGTGTCACCTATAGAAAATACAGGGTACTGAAGTTTGTTGCCATTTCACAGGCGCACGCAAATTTAGGGTTTGACATGTTAGATATCTATTTTACTTTTATATGTTTACTTTTATTATACTTTTATATATCTTTTTATACTTTACCAAGACTTTTGGTAATTTATTGTGTTTGTTTGCCCTAAAATTCACTTTAGTGTGTTTTGTTACTGCAATTTTGCATTTCCTAGACTTTTGCGGTAATGTCATGTGACATAAAAATTGTAACTACCTCTGTTTTATTCTCTAGGGCAGGGGTGTCAAACTGGCGGCCCTCCAGCTCTTGCGAAACTATCATGCGAAGTCCCATCATGCCTCTTCTTTGGAAGTCATGCTTGTAATTGTCAATCTTGCAATGCTTCATGGGACTTGTAGTTTGGCAACAGCTGGAGGGCTGTCAGTTGACACATGTGGTCTAGGGTGTCTGCGTTCAAAAAAAATCATATCATGTTTAAGGGTCTTGTGTAATCTTCAGGCCTAAAATGATTTTTTTTAAACGTGTGCAAAAAATGCAAAAGCGGCTCTGGCAGCAAAAAGGTTCATCTACTCTGCTACTAGAAATCTCTGCAATGATTATAAAAGTAATAAAAAACAAGAATTTAAAAATGTGAAAATCACATTATATACACCACAATAATAACTAAAAAAAAAATGTGCATCCTTAAGGTACTAACACTCTCCTCCTTAATACAGTGTTCCCTGTGTTTTTTTGTTTTTAGGGTTGCCGATCTTTGGCTGCTGGGCATCCTGGGTACATTAGCCACGACAAGGAGACGTCCATTAAGTATGTCAGCCACCAGCACCCCAATCACCCGCAGCTGTTCAGTATCGTACGCCAAGCCTGTGTGCGCAGCCTGAGCTGTGAGGTATTACTTCTCTACATTTATCACACTGTCTTCTATATGTCTACAATATAATTTGTCTTTCTAGGTCACATAATCCACTGAGTTGCTATTGTAATTTAAAGAGACCCTGTCACCAATTGAATCATATGCAGGTAAAATCAGTATTTTAAAGTGTGACTTTAGGGGAAAAATAAATGTCAGGCTCCTGCACACACTCCCTTCTACTTTCTGCCTGTACCTCCATAAGGGCTTTCAGTTAGAAGGCTGGAGGAAGTGTGTATGAACCATGAAGGCACTCATCAGCACACTAGTAGTCTATGGAGAACTACTAGTGTGCTGCAGTGGCTGACAGGACTTGTAGTTTCATTCATTCAGGGATCGCTGTGAATGATTGACATGGCTGTGCAGGTGAGGAGCCTCCATCCACTCCCACAGGGAAGAGGCAACTGAGGGGGTGTAGAACATGTTACACCCAAAATGCAACTGTAACATGTACAAGAAGATAGATGCTCACTTGCAGTGATAGATAGATAGATATATATATATACAGCGTTTCTCTAAACATGCTGATAAATTTGACTAATCTAAGACCATCCATTCCCTAGCACAGCCCCCTTCTGTCATAGTCCTCTCATCTGGGCGTGTCGAATTCCTCTGTGCTGGCCCACCTCATCAGTCCCTCACTTTACCTTTTTACATAACCTTTTATCAAGATGCTGGGGAAGGAGAGAACATTAATACTATAGAGCTGTGGTCTCCACAGGTGTCCCAGGTGCCAGATGCTGCCCTTCACTTGCTTTTATCCAGACGTTTAGGTACTGTTTCATCGACTGATGCCAGGAATGGGGCATAATTTCATTGAGTGTAGCCAACAATGGGGCATAATTTCATCGAGTGATGCCAACAATGGGGCATAATTTCATCGAGTGATGCCAACAATGGGGCATAATTTCATCGAGTGATGCCAACAATGGGGCATAATTTCATCGAGTGATGCCAACAATGGGGCATAATTTCATTGAGTGTAGCCAACAATGGGTCATAATTTCATTGAGTGTAGCCAACAATGGGGCATAATTTCATTGAGTGTAGCCAACAATGGGGCATAATTTCATTGAGTGTAGCCAACAATGGGGCATAATTTCATTGAGTGTAGCCAACAATGGGGCATAATTTCATTGAGTGTAGCCAACAATGGGGCATAATTTCATTGAGTGTAGCCAACAATGGGGCATAATTTCATTGAGTGTAGCCAACAATGGGGCATAATTTCCCCTACTGACGCCAGCAATGGGGCGCAGTTCCTCCCAATGACACCAACGGTGGGGGGCAGTTCCTCCCAATGACACCAACGGTGGGGGGCAGTTCCTCCCAATGACACCAACGGTGGGGGGCAGTTCCTCCCAATGACACCATCGGGGGGGGGCAGTTCCTCCCAATGACACCAACGGTGGGGGGCAGTTCCTCCCAATGACAGCAGTGATGAGGCACAATTTCTCAGAATTACACCAACAATGGGACACAATTGTTTTTAATGACATCAATGATGAAGCACAATTCTTGCAAATTACACCAGCAATGGGGCACAATTCCTTCCATCGACACCAAAGATGGGGAATTGCTTTTTCCAACTGACACCTGGACCTTCCAATAAAGTCCAGCTTCCCCAAAGTCTTAAGGACAGTAAACTGGCCCTTTCTTTAGAAGGTTTGGAGACCCCTGCTATAGAGTGTCACTTGAGTGACACCTCTGAGTCTACTGGGGTTGCTGATATCACATCCATGATGGCGGCACCCAGCAGCAGTCTCAGGGGGGTTTGGATGTTTACACAAGGAAGGCTTTTTGATGTACAGAAGTTGCCTAAGATATAAGTGCACATGTAGTCTAATGATAAGATGTTTATTGAATTGAATGGTCTGGTGACAGGGTCTCTTTTAGTGTTAGGTGTTATTGAACTCTTGTTCATAAGGTGACTATGTAGCACTATACCTTTTGTCATGCTATGTTGTTATCCCCTTTATCTCTGCTACCTGTGTTTGCATCTCAGTCTTCAATGTCCATGCCCAAGGTATTGCCGCTTGTAGGGTGGCACCACTGCCATGCTGGAGCCACCCTGATGTACACACTCCCGGCAGGGACTCTGAAGGCTTGGGCATGCATGCACAGTGTGGTCTGGGTATGAAGAAGCAGAAGACTGATAGAATGGGCATGCATGCTCACTATGGGCTGGGTGTGTGTATTCTTTGGACATTGTATGTAGGAGCACCTCTTGCATCGGGACTAAAGGTGAGGCGAGATCACCTGATGCGACAGCGAGTTCTCCCTGAAGCGGAAGTTCAGAGAAGCAGCGTTCTGCAGTCTGGAGACGGCACCATTGAGGAGCACCAACTGAAGTTTGCAAACACGTATGCTGTAAAAAGTTTACTGAGGAATGATTTTCTGATTGGTTAGAATTCATTCAACTTGTAAAAATAAAGTTTTAAACAAGTAAATATAATATACCTTCCTATCTTGCAGCATAAGGATTACAAATAGTTAATGTTGGCTAGTTCAGCTTTAATTCTATTGTATAACGATCTGGCTGCTTTCTCTGCATTGTCCAGGTCTGCCCTGGCCGCGAAGGTCCAATTTTCTTTGGCGATGAGCAGCATGGCTTCGTTTTCAGCCACACTTTCTTCATAAAGGACAGCTTGGCACGAGGCTTCCAGCGCTGGTACAGCATTATCGTCATCATGATGGACAGAATCTACCTAATCAACTCCTGGCCCTTTCTGCTGGCTAAGATCAGAGGGGTGATAGATGAGCTACAGGGGAAGGCATTGAAGGTGAGCTCAAGTTTAATTCCAGGTGTAACGGAACCGTCCCAGCCTGCGCTGAGTACTTCCGTTAGAATACCACTTCCCCATCTGAACACCGTCCACAGCCACCACAGATTCGAAGTAAACCAGGAAATAGACTACTTTAACACAGATACAAGATATATACATTCAAGGGAACAATCCCCCCTCCCTGCATAATGACTCAGGGCGTGGCAATCTACCTTTATTAACAAGAGACACACCAACAGACAGTCCCATCAGGAGGGCTGCTGGAAACACCCCCCACCAAGCCAATATACAAACACATACATCCCATAATAGTTTGCTCCCAGGCCAGACACACAATAGAACAATGGGATGCAACCACATGGCATTAAACAATCAACAACCCCCCACCCCAATATTAGGACAGGTCACCCTGTACGCCCAACAGGCACAGGGTGACTTACACATAATAGGGATATGGGGAGCTGAAACGGAGGTCTCCCCACCTCTCCAAAGTGAGCTGGGTTCCATGGGCCCCCACCCAAAGTGACTCCCGTCACACCAGGCAAAGCACTATGGGGAGGGTGGTGGGTGATGCGGTCATGGGAAGGAGGGAGATGATGAAGGGGAGAGCAAGAGCCTTTACAGAGTTGCCTCTCTAGGAGACCTGGTCTCTCTGCCAAGGCTTCCAGTCTAGTTAAAGGATACGTTCACCTTTCATAACATGTTACTCCCATATTCAGGATGTAACATGTCACAAACTGACTAGCCCCTGCACCACCCCTGTCCCTGCTGTGACAACTAGCAGGTTATCTTCTCCTCCTCGCTAGCTGTCACAATTTAGAAAAATGTGTCCGTGCAGGGCTCCGCCCGCTTGTCCACGTCCTTCATTTACAGCTTTTTGTGAATGGGAAAACTAGAAGTCTTGGCAGCCTTTGCGGCTGTCGGCTAGTAGTTTTCAGAGAACTACCACGGTGCCGTAGTAGTTCATTGAGCCTTCCTTTCAGTAGTATCTGCTTGCTTGTACGGGATGTACTAGCAAGCAGATATTCTGACAGGTCAGGGGGAGACCTGCATGGCACCAGCAATCTTCTGATCGCTAGTACAATGCTTTAAAGGCTCCACAAACAAAAAATAATAAACGCCTATTTTTTTTTGCCTGCAAAAAAAAATGGGCATTTATTATTTTTTGTTAAAAGATGAACTTATCCTTTAAACTGGTCATACATACTGATTTCTCCATCTACTCTACACGGTAAATATGGACAAAGCTTCCGCTGTGTCTAATGTATTTGGACAGCCAGCCGCTATCAAAATACAGTACCTGGACTTTTTCAATCAAGGGGTGTTGGGCGAGAGGTAGCGACAGAGCCTACCACTGAACGCATTTCATCTGGTTTATTAGGAACCAATTATAATTTGTGCTATGTATGACAAGCTGTATTAGAGCTGAGGGAGAAATCAGCATCTAACAAGAAGAGTCCTTATGCTTATAGTCCTGAGAGTTTTTTTAAAGTCATTCCAGCAGACCCATATGGGTGATGTGTAGGAGTTTCTCCATCTCAGAGCAGACGGGGGGGGGCTGGGAGTAGTGGGGGCTCTGGGGGAGGTGACATCACTCGGGCTGGGAGTGGTGGAGGCTCTGGGGGAGGTGACATCACTCGGGCTGGGAGTGGTGGAGGCTCTGGGGGAGGTGACATCACTCGGGCTGGGAGTGTGGTGGAGGCTCTGGGGGAGGTGACATCACTCGGGCTGGGAGTGGTGGAGGCTCTGGGGGAGGTGACATCACTCGGGCTGGGAGTGGTGGAGGCTCTAGGGGAGGTGACATCACTCGGGCTGGGAGTGGTGGAGGCTCTGGGGGAGGTGACGTCACTCGGGCTGGGAGTGATGGAAGCTCTAGGGGAGGTGACGTCACTCGCTCTGGGAGTGGTGGAGGCTCTGGGGGAGGTGACGTCACTCGGGCTGGGAGTGGTGGAGGCTCTGGGGGAGGTGACGTCACTCGGGCTGGGAGTGGTGGAGGCTCTGGGGGAGGTGACGTCACTCGGGCTGGGAGTGATGGAGGCTCTAGGGGAGGTGACGTCACTCGCTCTGGTAGTGGTGGAGGCTCTAGGGGAGGTGACATCACTCGCTCTGGTAGTGGTGGAGGCTCTGGGGGAGGTGACGTCACTCGGGCTGGGAGTGGTGGAGGCTCTAGGGGAGGTAACGTCACTCGCTCTGGGAGTGGTGGAGGCTCTAGGGGAGGTAACGTCACTCGCTCTGGGAGTGGTGGAGGCTCTAGGGGAGGTGACGTCACTCAGGCTGGGAGTGATGGAGGCTCTAGGGGAGGTGACGTCACTCGCTCTGGGAGTGGTGGAGGCTCTGGGGGAGGTGACGTCACTCGGGCTGGGAGTGGTGGAGGCTCTGGGGGAGGTGACGTCACTCGGGCTGGGAGTGGTGGAGGCTCTAGGGGAGGTAACGTCACTCGCTCTGGGAGTGGTGGAGGCTCTAGGGGAGGTAACGTCACTCGCTCTGGGAGTGGTGGAGGCTCTGGGGGAGGTGACGTCACTCGGGCTGGGAGTGGTGGAGGCTCTGGGGGAGGTGACGTCACTCGGGCTGGGAGTGGTGGAGGCTCTGGGGGAGGTGACGTCACTCGGGCTGGGAGTGGTGGAGGCTCTGGGGGAGGTGACGTCACTCGGGCTGGGAGTGGTGGAGGCTCTGGGGGAGGTGACGTCACTCGGGCTGGGAGTGGTGGAGGCTCTGGGGGAGGTGACGTCACTCGGGCTGGGAGTGGTGGAGGCTCTGGGGGAGGTGACGTCACTCGGGCTGGGAGTGGTGGAGGCTCTGGGGGAGGTAACGTCACTCGCTCTGGGAGTGGTGGAGGCTCTAGGGGAGGTAACGTCACTCGCTCTGGGAGTGGTGGAGGCTCTGGGGGAGGTGACGTCACTCGGGCTGGGAGTGGTGGAGGCTCTGGGGGAGGTGACGTCACTCGGGCTGGGAGTGGTGGAGGCTCTGGGGGAGGTGACGTCACTCGGGCTGGGAGTGGTGGAGGCTCTGGGGGAGGTGACGTCACTCGGGCTGGGAGTGGAGGAGGCAGGTTCCTTGAAGAAGGTTACAATGAACATAACCTGAATAAGACCATTGATTTGGTAGCAGGAATGGACAGGGAAGATCTACTCAAAGACAAGGACCAGACCCATTCCTAATCCAGAGAGGGAATCTCTCATCCAGGGAGCAACACCCGCTTAACCCCTTAAGGGGAACTCCGGTTGACGTGGATCATCATTAAAGCCCCAAGGATCCTGTTTGATGACCATCCATCCCTTAGAGGGAAGACATCTTAGTTCCTGACCAGGGGCGGACTGACAACTCATGGGGCCCCCGGGCAATAGGGGATCATGGGGCCCCTGTGTTCTTGCCCAAACTCAAAAAAGCCTATGAAATAGGTACCAGGGGCATCTCATGGGGCCCCCTACTGACCCCGGGCCCTCGGGCATTGCCCGAGTTTCCAAATGGTCAGTCCGCCCCTGGTCCAGACTTACCTTGATGACTACTTCTGGAGTAATGTTTACAGGCGCATTTTATATGTGCGTCTGGTGAGTGCGCATTACTTACACGATTATTGCACAGACACCGGTTTCCAGAAAAACAAGCACCTAAAGAGCACTAGAGTCACTTTGAACTTTTTTACTTAAGAACTTCACATTTGAATATATATTTTAGTTGATTTTATACTATTAGCGCTGCATCTCCTTTTATATTACACAGCACGGACCTGGCAGGGCAGGAGACCTTATTTTTCTCTGCTGCAAATCAGTAACTCACTCCCGAGCTTGTGTTTGGACAATGAAAGGAGAAGCATCAGACTGATGAGCTCATCTCATATCATATCACTCTGTGTTCTCCTCCATGTTAGCACATGTGCACTGCAGCATACCTGAATAGCTACATGTGTTGCTGTTCTCTCTCTGTCTGTGCTCTGCTGTACAGAGCAATGAGGCTGATACCAAGTCAATTCAGGTACTTACACTGCTTACGTTTAACTAATTGGTTGTAATGAATACCAAGCTGTGTCTCTTCCCGCCCACCCCACTGTCCCTTTAAACAGTTCTGAGCTCCCAAGAGGGCAGGAAGGATTGGCAATCACGTGACCCATGTCACAGTGGTCACATGAAATATAATATTTCAATGTTATAGGATTTGGCACATAGGAGCCTATCATATGCACATACAGTTGGTCACTCTGTACGGGATATTCATTCATATTATCACACTGATCACATGATCAGAAGCCAGTCCCGCCAGCTACCGATATTTCCCATCTGGAAGAAAAATATATTTGAAATATATTTAAAAAATATTCTTCCCAAATAAATCGACATATATTTGAAATGCTACAAATTTGGCCATATACAGTCATGGCCGAAATTGTTGGCACCCTTGATATTTTTCCTGAAAATCATGTATTTCTCACGAAACGTATTGCATTAACACATGTTTTGCTATACACATGTTTATTCCCTTTGTGTGTATTGGGACAAAACAAAAAAAGGGAGGAAAGAAAGCAAATTCGACATAATGTCACACAAACCTCCAAAAATGGGCTGGACAAAAGTATTGGCACCCTTTCACAACTGCGGATAAATAAGAATGTTACAAGCATGTGATGCTCCTGTAAACTCACCTGGGGCAAGTAACAGGTGTGGGCAATATAGAAATCACACCTGAAAGCAGATAAAAAGGAGAGACGTTCACTTAACCTTTGCATTGTGTGTCTGTCTGTGCCACACTAAGCATGGACAACAGAAAGAGGAGACGAGAACTGTCTGAGGACCTGAGAACCAAAATTGTGGCAAAATATCAACAATCTCAAGGTTACAAGTCCATCTCCAGAGAACTAGATTTGCCTTTGTCCACAGTGCGCAACATTATCAAGAAGTTTGCAACCCATGGCACTGTAGCTAATCTCCCTGGTCGTGGACGGATGAGGAAAATTGATGAAAGATTGCAACGCAGAATAGTCCGGATGGTGGATAAGCAGCCCCAAACATGTTCCAAAGACATTCAAGCTGTCCTGCAGGCTCAGGGAGCATCAGTGTCAGCGCGAACTATCCGTCGACATTTAAATGAAATGAAACGCTATGGCAGGAGACCCAGGAGGACCCCACTGCTGACACAGAGACATAAAAAAAGCAAGACTACAGTTTGCCAAAATGTACTTGAGTAAGCCAAAAGCCTTCTGGGAAAACGTCTTGTGGACAGATGAGACCAAGATAGAGCTTTTCGGTAAAGCACATCATTCTACTGTTTACCGAAAACGGAATGAGGCCTACAAAGAACAAAACACAGTACCTACGGTAAAATATGGTGGAGGTTCAATGATGTTTTGGGGTTGTTTTGCTGCCTCTGGCACTGGGTGCCTTGACTGTGTGCAAGGCATCATGAAATCTGAGGATTACCAAAGGATTTTGGGTCGCACTGTAGGGCCCAGTGTCAGAAAGCTGGGTTTGCGTCCAAGATCCTGGGTCTTCCAGCAGGACAATGACCCCAAACATACGTCAAAAAGCACTCAGAAATGGATGGCAAAGAAGCGCTGGAGAGTTCTGAAGTGGCCAGCAATGAGCCCAGATCTAAATCCCATTGAACACCTGTGGAGAGATCTTAAAATTGCTGTTGGGAAAAGGTGTCCTTCCAATAAGAGAGACCTGGAGCTGTTTGCAAAGGAAGAGTGGTCCAAAATTCCGGTGAGAGGTGTCAGAAGCTTATTGATGGTTATAGGAAGCGACTGATTTCAGTTATGTTTTCCAAAGGGTGTGCAACCAAATATTAAGTTAAGGGTGCCAATACTTTTGTCCAGCCCATTTTTGGGGTTTTGTGTGTGACATTATGTCATATTTGCTTTTCTGCCTCTGTTTTATATTTGTTCCAATACATACAAAGGGAATAAACATGTGTATAGCAAAACATGTGTTAATGCAATACCTTTTTTGTGTGAAATACTTGATTTTCAGGAAAAATATCAAGGGTGCCAACAATTTCGGCCATGACTGTATATAAAATAAACAACTCATGGGGCTCCGGGCAATAGGGGATCATGGGGCCCCTGGGTCCTCGCCCACCCACTCTCAAACCACACCCAAAAAAGCCTATGAAAGGTACCAGGAGCATCTCATGGGGCCCCTGCTGACCCTGGGCCCCATGAGATGCTCCTGGTACCTTTCATAGGCTTTTTTGGGTGTGGTTTGAGTGTGGGCGAGGACACAGGGGCCCCATGAATTGTCAGTCCGCCCCTGTAGCTAAGTGCAATTTTTATTGTTTCTCTTGCGTTATTTAAAAAGGAAATCTTTTTCAGGTGTTTGAAGCAGAGCAGTACGGATGCCCACAGCGCCCTTTAAGGATTAACACGGCCTTCACACCATACATGCACCAGAGGAATGGAAATGCAGCTCGCTCCTTGACCTCGCTCACCAATGACGACAACCTCTGGGCCTGTCTGCACACTTCTTTTGCATGGTAGATTGGTTTCTCAATGTCTTCCTTGGCCATACACATCAAGATAGCAGTCAGATGGAAGCCAGCAGGCAGTTTTTTCTTATGATGCCAATTGTGAGGTTCAGTGGGTGTTTTAGTGCAAGTGCTTCCTGAAGTGTACTCATTCATTCTGATGGTAAAATTCGTATATAGTCTGCAAAATGGTTATGAAAGCAAAGGCTGCTTTACCACTTGCCAACCGCGTTATGGCCGTCCAGTAATGGGAGGGTGTCTATTGACTCTGTGATCACAGAGGTCCTTTACCGCGTGATCAGCTGTGTCCAATCACAGCTGATCATGATGTAAACACACTTATCAGCAGTACATTCCTCACACTGTCACAGCGTAAGGAAAGTACTGCCAATAACCAGCCAGTGTGAAAAGGGACATCTACACTGATTATCAGTGCCCTGGTTATCAGTGCAGCCCCAACAGTGCTGTCTATCAATGCCAGTCAGTGCTGACAATCAGTGCCCATCAATGCTTTTCAGTGCTGCCGATTAGTGACTATCAGTACCTCCTGTTAGTGCCCGTTATTGCTGCCTATCAGTGCTCACCAGTGCCTCTTCATCAATGCCGTCTCCTCAGTGTAGCCCTATGGGTACCCATCAGTGCTGCCTATCAGTACCGTCTCATCCGTGCTCATCGGTGCTTCCCATCAGTGCAGTCTCATCAGCGCACATCAGTGAAGGAGGAAAAATTACCTGTTTGCAGAATTTTATAAGAAAAACTAAGAAAGACATTTTTTGTTTAGCAAAAAATAAATACCATCAGACGAAAGCTCCATTTGTGTGGGAAAAAAATAATTTAATATGGGTACAGTGTTGCATGACCGCGAAATTGTCATTCAAAGTGCGACAGCACTGAAACCTGAAAATTGGACTAGGCAGGAAGGAGGTGAAAGTGCCCTGTAGGCAAGTGGTTAAAGCAGAAGTCCAGCCAAAACTTTTTTTTTTTTTTTCTAGTGTTAGAGCGGGGAAGGACTGGAACTCTGTCAGCTTTTTATTGTTGCCTGCAGAAATATCCACCCTCATTATATGTTATAGTGTTGATTGTTGAACAGAGGCTTAGGGGATACACATCATTTTAATTGTAGAGACCTAGTAGGAATATCTTCCAGTGGGGACACCTTTTGGTGACAACTGTCAAAGGTTGTTTTCCCTTGACATTAAAGTGGGCCTTCACCACCCCATCCCACCAACTTTTTGTCATTCTACTCCTGCCCCCTCCTCTCTCACAATCAGATTTTTCACCACCCCATCCCACCCACTTTTTGTCATTCTACTCCTGCCCCCTCCTCTCTCACAATCAGATTTTTTTTTTTAATGCTTTTATTTTTGGGGAACACTTTCCTCCGCTTTCTGGATTCTTTCCTAGGCAAGAATGATATTCAGCTGCCTGTGGCCTCCTGGGATGCTCATGTGATGCATCCCAAGCAGACTCTGGGTACCCTACAACTCAAACGCTGTGGTGCATCATGAAGGGACCGACTGTCTCTTTCCGGTTCTTGCAGATGATGCACAGATGGCGCATGTGTGTCATCACGGGGCCAACTGCAAGAGTACAGAAGAGACAGCCGGCTCCCCATGATGTCAAAAAAGGATGTGGTGGCACGGGAATGGGTGTGCAGCAGAAGACCATCATGGATTCTCTTGGTATGTGAGTGTCTTTTGTGGATAACCCAGCACAAAAGTTAACCACTTGATGACCAGTGTGGAAGGGTGAAGTATCCATGCAGTGATGTCCAAGATATTTTTTTCATCTGGCAATTCTCTTCCATATAAAAGTAACCCCAGTGGCTAAGAAGCTGCTGGATTACTTTTACAGGCAGAGGAAGGGGGTCCCAGCCCCTTCCTGTTGCTGTTGTTTTTACTGTTCTCCTGAGCGATCGTGGAGCCCAGTACGGATGCCACTGGCGGTATCCGCTTCCCTGAACACAGTGAGAGGAACTGATCTTGATCCTCCCACTGTGTGTCAACAGAAACCAGAAGCGATGAGGATTCATTTCTTTATAAGCTATTGCCGGCTTGTGTAGAAGTGGATTAATCTAACCTTGATTTTGTCTGCTGCTTTGGTGGCCAGAAGAGAGATCTGAGATCTCATAGACCCCAGAACTCTCCATAAAGAGGACCTGTCATGGCCACTTCTATCACAAGGGATGTTGTTCATTTTATGTGATAGCAATAAAAGTGATTTAAAAAATTTAAAGGTATAATGTTAAAATAAAAAAAAAATTAATAAAATAATTTTTTTTTTAAAGTCTCCCCCATTGCTCGTGCACAAAGGCGAATGCACACGCCGGTCCCACATGCATAAGTAAACAGCGATCACACCACACGTATGAGGTATTACTGCAAATGTCAGAGCAAGAGCAATAATTCTAGCAGCAGATCTCCTCTGTAAATCTAAAGTGCTAACCTGCAAAGGCTTTTAAAGTGTCGCCTATGGATAATTCTATGTAGTTTAGTTTGTCACCGTTCCACAGGCGTTCACAATTTTAAAGCATGGCATGTTTGGTATCTATTTACTTGATTTAACATCATCTTTTATATTTTACCAAACAATTGGGTATTATATTGTGTTTTTGTGCATTAAAATCCATTAAAGTGTAATTTCTAGGGCCGCTGCTTAAAAAATATATAATGTTTGGGGGTTCTAAGTAATTTTCTAGCAAAAAAAAAAAAAGCTAATTTTAACAAGTAGGAGAGGAATGTTAGAATTGGTCTGAGGCTCAAATAGTTAAAGTGGAGTTCCACTCACACTGTAAATAAATAAAAGTCAGCAGCTACAAAAACTCTAGCCACTGACTTTTAAAAAACAGCCACTTACCTGTCCCGCCTTGTCCTCCCCGCAGCCCGTTTCGCCGGCCATCCTGTGTTCCAGGCACCGGCATCTTCAGTGTGGGCACCCGGCTGTGACAGCTTGCGGCTTCACAGCCCGGTGCCCACTGCGCATGCGCGAGTAGCGCTGCGCTTCCTAAATGGCCCCGTCGTCTTCTGGGACCTGTCACGTGTCCCAAAAAGACTACAGGGAGGACAACTTCCGCTTCTGATCGCCTAGGGAATCGTAGCGGAAGTGGGAGCGGTTACCTGTCAAATTCTGGTACCCGCTCCCCAAAGGTGCCAATCCTTAATGAGGAGTGGGGGACCAGTCTTAAAACGGAAACTTCTCCTTTTGGGTGGAACTCCACTTTAAGTGTGTATGTGTGTGTGTATGGGGCGGTTACATAGGAGCAGAATATTGCTTCTCTTAAAGGAGATTTCCTCTCACTTCCTGTTACCTTGCTGGGATAGGAAGGGATATATCCTAGTGAAGGTTCTTACCCTTCCCTGCTCTTCCAAGAACAACGCCGCTGAATTGGCCAAAATTCAAGCTGTGGGTGAATTGAGAAATTGAAGCCGGGTGAACAAGACTGCGGCCAGTCAGGCAATCATCTGCAGTTGATGAATGAAAACAAACAAGGGAGCACTCTTATCGTGCATTACCATGGTAAACCACGTATTTTATTGAATAAAAAGGATGTATACTCACAAACCAACGTGATTATAGGCAGTATGAGTGATCCACAAAGACAGTCACAATACAACTGTGTCTAATGATGCGGATATCTGACGCGTTTCGGGGGCTGAACCCCCTTTTGCAGTTGCTCTTCTGGTGATCTGACAGCCAAGGGTCCCAGCTGTCTAAATACAGTAGCCTGCAGGAGAGATTCCTCCATCCATACAATGGATGGAGAAATTTATAGATTTCATATCATGCTGTCTGCTGAGCTAAGAAAAAGAAATCTTTGTATATATTCTCAGCTTAAATCTCCTTTTGGGAGGGGGGGAGGGTGAGACTTTGGATAAATATTAGCACTTTGTAATATAATTATCATCGTGAATAGTATACACCATTTATGACACTCTGACTGTTATCTCTAGATTTCTTGCACTGTGTTTTCATTGTATTGACTTACTACACTTTCATATTTCTTCTGCAGGTTGTTAAAGGCTTGTGGGTGTCGCCTTACTGAAAAGCTTCTTGAAGGGGCCCCAACAGAGGACACTCTGGTGCAGATGGAGAAGCAGGCAGGTAAGTGTCCAACCTTCCTGGCAGGAGCGGACTGAGAACTCATGGGGCCCCTGGGCAATAGGGGATCATGGGGCCCCTGTGTCCTTGCCCACACCCAAAAAAGCCTCTGAAAGGTTCCAGGGGCATCTCATGGGGCCCCCTACTCACTCTCTGGGCCCTCGGGCAGTGCCCGAGTGCACGAATGGTCAGTCCGCCCCTGCTTCCTGGCCATGTTGAAAGAATGCTAAATGTTATACAATTTTTTCCTCTCTATTCCCACAATGTGTTTTATTTAGTAAGGTTTGTAAAAATCTAAATTTTTTCTGCATAATGTACCTTTTAAGATAGTGCAAGATTTGTAGATTTGCACATGATTTAGCAAACTGTGCGTGTTTTTGGGCACACCTTGCTAAGCTTTTGGTAAATGGAGTTAATGGGTTTGTGAAAAATTATGAGCTAGGATATATTCCCCACCTCTGAGTCTGTAACTGTCTATAGAGACCATTTAGACCTCTAAATTGAAAAAAAAAAAACAGTCCAGCGGCTCTTATTACCACCCGCAGCACTTGTAGATTACTGGTATGTGGGGAGTGCAGAGGACTGTAGATTTAAATGAAGAGCCGTCAACAGACCAGGGACACATCTCATTTAATGTAACCTCTGTCCTCCCTGTGCTGATTACAAGAAAAAAGAAAATTTACAAAATTTAAGCTTTAAACTATGTGAATAAAAATCGATGGTTCTAAGTTCCCCAGCGGTACCATTTGGTTTGTTACAAACCTGGAAATCTTTTCTGGACAGCTTGGCCTTTATCATGTATCTCTTAATTATTTTTTTTATTTCAACCTTACTCTTTTTCTTGCAGACCTGGAGGAAGAATGTGCAGCCTGGGAAAGCCGCGAAGAAGAGGAGGGAAGGCCATGTCCCGTACCTGACATCTTGGAGGGCAGGGAACTGCTAAAGTGCCCCACAGAATCCTCTGTGCTCTCAGATTGTAGCTGGACCTGCAGGACGGCCGTGTTCAGATCTCTGCGCCACATGAGACAGGTGTTATTTCCTGAATGGTAACAGTACAAGGAGAGATTTTAATTTGAAAGTTCTGCAGGATAAAAGGAATTATGGATGAGGTTTATCAACTTCCCACCCAGGCCAATTTTGGCACTTCTCTCCTACATGTAAAAAAAAAAGGCGGTCATTTGTCACACGGTATTTGCGCAGCGATTTTTTCAAAACGCAATTTTTTGGGAAAAAATAATGATATTTATGCAAAAAACACAATATATAACCAGATTTTTTTGGTAAAATATAAAAGGTGATGTTACGCAAAGTTAATAGACAGCTAACGTCACACTTTAAAATTGGTCATTACTCATGGAATTGAACACCTAATTACAGTACTTAAAAATTTCCATAAGTGATGCTTTGCAAATCTAAACTGGTAACCTGTAAAAATTTATAGAGGAAGTCAAGCACTAAGATTATTGCTTTTGCTACAATATTCACGGCGATATCTCACGTGTGTTGCAAAACATGATTTACATGTGCAGGTGTGGTCCTACGTATACGGTTTTTTCTTCTGCATGTGAGCTCGATAGCTGAGGACGGGGGAACTTTAAAAAAAAAACAAAAAAAACATTTATATACATTTTTTCTTACACACTGTCCCTTTTTTTTAAATTAATTTTTTATTTTTTTACCTTTTTTATTCCGATTGCAAGGAAATGTAAACATCCCTTGTGACAGAAATAAGGGATGACAGGTCCTCTTTATGGAGGGACCCAAGATATTCCCATCTACCCATGGAAAGAATGAGATTAAAAAAAACATTAATCTCTGCTTTCCAGGGGAAAAAATGGCAGTATTTACAACTGCCAGAGCCAGAAGTGACGTCATGACATTGCTTCACAGCCTCCCAGGATCATAGAGATGGTCTGGGTATCATCCGGTCCCCAGCCAGCTGTGTGGTAACCCATCACCGGATCGGATCCCGGACTCCCTGATATATCATGGGATACTGAGCCCCCAGGAGGCACCAGGTGGGCAGGTGGAGGGGTGGTAGGTCCCCTCCTACTGCCTGTAAAAAAAAAAAAACCATCCAGCAGCTAACCGGCGCCTGTTAGATTGCTTTTACACAAGAGGGAATCATCGCTGGCTGAAAAGAAAGATATCTGAATGATGCCTGTAGCTACAGGAATCATCCAGATATCAGCAAACACAAATGCTCCTGCACTTGCGGATGGACTCAATGTAGGCTAGAACCACATCATGAATGTCCTGGAATATGCACACCTTGCTGCCCTCAAAAGACCGGGGAAAATACCAAATATACTCGAATGAAGAAGTAGCAGAGGCGCACGGGCTTCATGCATTACCATAAAAAAAATGTTTAATAAGAAATAAAAGTAAGGTTGGTTTATACTCACAAACAACAGTAAAGTACAAAGGCACATCATAAAAGAAAACAGCTTGGTCAACACCGCGCTATGTGACAGTCCGCAACAGGGAGGCTAGACATCTAATAGGCTGACGCATTTCGAGGACTTGCCTCTTCCTCAGAGCCGGAAGTGAAGTCATGACATTGCTTTTCAGCCTCCCAGGATAATAGAGATGGCCAGGTAACATCCGGTCCCCAGGCCAGCTGTGTGGTAACCCATCCCCATCACACCGGATCGGATCCCGGGCTCCTGCTGATATCATGGGATAGCCCAGAGAGGTGCCGGTGGCAGGTGGAGGGGTGGTAGGTCCCCCCCAAGACACTGCCTTGTAAAAGCCATCCAGCGGCAAATCAGCTGTTAGGATTTGCTTTTACACAAGAGGGAATCATTGCTGGCTGAAAAGAAAGATAATCTGAATGATGCGGCCTGTAGCTATAGGCATCATCCAGATATCACCACTTCAAGTCTAGGATGTCATATGATGTCCTACAGGGGGGAAGTGGTTAAAGCGGGAACTGAACTAACAAGAATTCTGTGAACAGGTAGCTCTTTATTGCAGTAGAGATATACCATGTCTTTTCTGCAGTAACAAACACCTGCCTGCTCGCCAGTCTTCTATGAATGCATGCTGGGCTGCTCATGTGCAGCTCATCGTGCATTCCCAGGACACTCTGGCTGTGCTGGAATGACAGGCTCCCTTACGTATGTGCGTGATGACATCATTTCCCAAAACCAACCAAACAAGAGGCTGAAAACCCTTGCACCCAGAAGTATTCAGGGAGAAGAGACAGCAGTCAATGAGGAACTTAACCACCGCTTCGTGATGGAATGAGAAGTTTATATTTCTGTCAGTTTAGTTCCACTTTAAATGTAAAAGATGTTGTTGTTCGTCCAATAAGTACTGGTGCCAGGAGTGCGCAAATTACTGCATATAGCTTGATGCAAAGAGAGATTGTGATATACGCCGATGTCTTTCGTTTAGGTCCCTCGGCCCGTCTGCTTTTCGTATGCTGGCCTGGCATGTTCTGATGGGAAATCAAGTCATATGGAAGGGGCACAACCAAGAGCTCATCCAGTCTGCTTTCGATGTCCTCCAGGTCTGTCTATTGTTCCTGTTACAGATATCTGAGTGTAGGATAATATTTTACTACTACTATTATGGGTATTGACTTATATAGTGTGTAGCTATGGGAGGTAAAGCAGATTTGGTGCAGCAGTGGCTATGTGGTTGAGTGAAACCTTAAGATGATGGGAGAGGGAGATCAAAAGTTGTTATGCCTTTCTGAAAAGCTTGGTTCTGAGCAAACGTTTCATTATATTTGTTCAAAACTTAGCTTGTCTGGTGACATCATCCTGGCCATACGTGGATCGTAACTAGTCCAGTTCAGCAGGGACCTGGACTAATTTCGATCCATGTATGGGACACCCTGGTTGTTACAGTTGTCGATCTATTGATTGACTTGGTGTGACATGTTGTACAACCAGCCATAGTGGAAAGGAAGGAAAATTGCATAATCTATGGCCTGCTTTCCTGTGCTCTCTTCCTCTACTACAGACTACGGCTCCCCCTCCCCATTTTATTTAGAAGAGTAGAGGGGACAACACTGCTGATCTATAGATACAGTACAATGAGAGAGTTAGTTGTCACCCTAAGGGCTCGTTCACACTTGACTTTTGTAACGGAACCGACCCAAACTGCAGGTGAGTACTTCCGTTGAGGTGAGTACTTCAGGTGAGTACTTCCAACAGACACCACAGCTGACCATACAAGACTAGACGACACCAATCTTGAAGTAATCCAGAAAGTAGACTAGTTTATTTTAACACAGATACAAGATATATACACTTAGGGACAGTCCCCCTTCCCTGCATAATGACACCGTGTGGGGCAATCTACATTTAGTAACGAGACACACCAACAGACAGTCCCATCAGGAGGGAGGGCTGCTGGAGACACCCCCCCCCCCCCACCCACCACTAAGATAATACACATAAACATATACATCCCATAATAGTAGAACAATGGGATGCAACCACATAACACCAAACAATCCACAACCCCCCACACCACCTATCTCCTAGACATATCTACACAATATTAGGACAGATCACCCTGCACCCCTAACAGGCACAGGGTGACTTACACATAAGAGGGATATGGGGAGCTGAGACAGGGGTCTGCCCACCTCTTCAAAGTGAGCTGGTTTCCATGGGCCCCCTCCACCCAAAGTCACTCCCGTCACAGCTTTATTTCTAACTCTTGCCAAACGCCCCTATAGCGTTTGACAGGCGTTAGACAAGCGTTTGTGAAGCATTTTTAACGCTCCTCAAACACTCCCCAAACGCTCCCAAAACGCCCTATGTGCATTTTTGAGGCGGTTGATAGGCGTTTGCCAAGCGTTAAAACCACACCACAAACTCCTATAATGAAGTTAAATGGTATTAACTCTCTGCAACCGCATCGCAAACCGCACTGCAAACGCCTGCCAGGCGTTTTGCGGAGCGACACCATAGACTTGAATGGGAGGCTTCAACTCCTCCTGACTCGACACGCTTCAGTGTGAACAGCACTGTGTGCTGACATGTGCAGAATTTTCATTTAAAATGCTTCCCAAACATCTGTCTGACGCCTGCTGACAAAGCTAGTGTGAATGTAGCCTAAGATAGGAAGAATGTTACTGGCTGGATCACCAGGTGAAAAGAAAGGGAAAAGAAGTCATCTAAAGCAGCCACCACATCTAAGGACTGGTGAACTGCAAAAGATTACATTTTTGTTGTTGGGTTTGGATAAGATTTAAACATAATGAGGGAAGGTGAATGCCTAATGGCCTGTTGAACGAAGCTGCAGAACAATTCTGTGCATTTTTTAGCTGGTTATGAATACAATGGGGTTGATTTACTAAAGGCAAATAGGTTGTGCACTGCAATTGTACTGAAAGAGCAGTTGCTGTAGATCTGAGGGGAACATGGAAGAAAATTAAAAAACAGCATTTTTGCTTGCACATGATTGGATGACAGAATTCGGCAGAGGTTCACCTCATCTTAGAGCTTCCCCTTGGATCTAAGCAACTGCACTTGCAGTGCACAGTATATATTTACCTTTTAGTAAACCAACCCCTATAGCTAATCTTTTCTCTTGTTGCTGTCAGGCCATGCTTCCTGTGGGCTGTGTTCGTATAATCCCATACAGTGAGAAGTATGAGGATGCCTATCGATGTAACTTTCTGGGATTAAGCCCACAAGCTGAGATTCCCCCACATGTGCAAAGTTCCGGTAAGTCTGTCCAACAGTACCATCTTATCTACGACATCACATCCTATGGGATAGAATCTAATATATAGGTGAGCGCTGGCGATATCTGGGGAGCAGCTAGAACACAAGGTGAAGGTAACAATCCCCTACAATAGTAGATGTCAGAAAGTGCAGCGCTAAAAAAAAAAAACTTTATTGCGGAATGGGAAAGGGCAACATGTAAAAGTGCAAAAAAACATTAGTAAAATGCGAAATCTAAAAATCAAACAATATGGTAAAGTGCATCATGAATGTAATGAGCTGAGTAAAGCAGTAAAGTGCATCAAGTAAAAGCATGAAAATGTCTGTCAGCTAAACGGCTCAAAAAGCAAATGCCAAACAATAAAGTGTATCACGGGCAGAATCTAAATACAACAATGTCCGTGGTGATCCGTGATATAAAGTGCAGTAGTAAATGATGTTCCAATAAACATATAAAGTGCTGCAGCGACCGTTCGGCTGGAACCGAAAAGAATCAGCAAGGGAGAATGTCACCAGCACACCGAGGCTCACCAATATGAGTCCAAAAGTTTTAATGAACGATCAAATACGGGGTGGACGGACAACTCATGGGGCCCCCGGGGGCAATAGGGGATCATGGGACCCTGTGTCCTCACCCACACTCAAACCACACCCAAAAAAGCCTATGAAAAAGGTACCAGGGGTATCTCATGGGGCCCCCTACTGCGACCCCGGGCCCTCGGGCAGTGCCCCAGTTCCCAAATAGTCAGTCCGCCCCTGATCACATAGTTACAGCAAGGCAACGTTTCGGAGTCTCGCAGGACCCCTTCATCAGGCACATGCCGAGGACCACCATATGGGTCCAAAAGTTTGAATGAACGATCACATAGTTGCAGAAAGGCAACGTTTTGGAGTCTCGCAGGATGTGGTCACATGCCTGATGAAGGGGTCCTGTGAGACTCCAAAACATTGCCTTGCTGTAACTATGTGATCGTTCATTAAAAACTTTTGGACCCATATTGGTGATCCTCGGCACGTGACCTGATGAAGGGGTCCTGCGAGACTCCGAAACGTTGCCTTGCTGTAACTGTGATCGTTCATTCAAACTTTAGGACCCATATTGGTGATCCTCGGTGTGCTGGTGACATTCTCCCTTGCTGTCTCTGGTTCCCAGCACTTGCCCAAGGCAAGCACCCACAATAGGAATGCCAAGAGATGTGTCGGCCTCACCTCCCAGTGCAGTCCTTGTGCACGTGCTGGGAACCGGAGACAGGGACAGGCGCTTCTTAGCAAATCAGCTATGCGCCAGTGGCTGTGTGCCGAGGGGGTGTGCCCTTGCCAACATTGCAGCTGACAATACAGGGCACGTAGACAGACAGAAGGTACAAAGTATTACATGTATTTTTTCCCATCAGAAACTTCATAATATACAAAAGTGACCTCTTTAATATCAGCTCTATATAAAAAGAGAAAATATTATCGTATTGTTTTACCTTTCTGTATGAATTATTGGCAGCAAAACTAATCAGACCCCTCGCGGTTTCTTTGTGACAGAATTTGCAGTAATGATTGACTTAGTGCGCACTGCCCCACGTAGCAATCTCTACCCTGTTCTGTTCGAGGAAGAGCCTCTCAGCAAATATGAGTTTGTGGGGTGGCCAGTGGGAGCCCGGTAGCTACAGACCGTGGTAAGTACATAGGTTGGGTAAATTGTAAGCCTGGGTCTTCAAACTTTCTAAACAAAGAACAAGTTTACTGTCCTTCAGACTTTAGGGGGGCCAGATTGTAGTCAGTGGCAGCAGAAAGAAAATGTCCTTCCAATGGTGGAAGCAAACAATGCTCCATCTTTGGTGTCAGTGGGAGGAATAGTGCCCCCCATCTTTGGTGACAGTGGGAGGAATAGTGCCCCATCTTTGGTGTCGGTGGGAGGGAATAGTGCCCCATCTTTGGTGTCGGTGGGAGGAATAGTGCCCAATCATTGGTATCAGTGGGAGGAATAGCGTCCCATCATTGGTATCAGTGGAGGAATAGTGCCCTATCATTGGTGTCAGTGGGAGGAATAGTGCCCTATCATTGGTGTCAGTGGGAGGAATAGCGTCCCATCATTGGTATCAGTGGGAGGAATAGTGCCCTAATCATTGGTGTCAGTGGGAGGAATAGTGCCCTATCATTGGTGTCAGTGGGAGGAATAGTGTCCCATCATTGATATCAGTGGGAGGAATAGTACCCCATTGTTGATGTCATTGAGAACAATTGTGTCCCATTGTTGGTATCATTGGGAACAATTGTGTCCTGTTGTTGTTATTGGGAACAATTGTGCCCCACTGTTGGTGTCATTGGGAACAATTGTGCCCCATTGTTGGTGTCATTGGGAACAATTGTGTCCCATTGTTGGTGTCATTGGGAACAATTGTGTCCCATTGTTGGTGTCATTGGGAACAATTGTGCCCCACTGTTGGTGTCATTGGGAACAATTGTGCCCCACTGTTGGTGTCAGTGGATGAAATAATGCCCCATCGTTGGTGTCAGTGGGAGGAATAGTGCAGCATCATTGATATCACTGGAACTGTACCCTATTGTTGATGTCATTGGAAACAATTGTGCCCCTTTGTTGGGGTCAGTGGGTGGAATTATGCCCCATTGTTGGTGTCAGTGGATGTAGTAGTGCCCCATCATTGATGTTAGTGAATGGAAATAGTGCCTCATCATTGCTATCAGTAGAAGAATAGTGTCCCATCCATTGGTGTCAGTGGGAGGAATAGTGCCCCATCATTGGTATCAGTGGGAGGAATAGTGTCCCATCATTGGTGTCATTGGAAGGAATAGTGCTCCATCATTGGTGTCAGTGGGGGGAATAGTGCCCCATCATTGGTGTCATTGGAAGGAAAAGTGCTCCATCATTGGTGTCAGTGGGGGGAATAATGCCCCATCATTGGTGTCAGTGGGGGGGAATAGTGCCCCATCATTGGTATCAGTGGGAGGAATAGTACCCCATCATTGGTGTCAGTGGGAGGAATAGTGCCCCATCATTGGTATCAGTGGGAGGAATAGTACCCCATCATTGGTGTCAGTGGGAGGAATAGTACCCCATCATTGGTATCAGTGGGAGGAATAGTGCCCCATCATTGGTGTCAGTGGGAAGAATAGTGCCCCATCATTGGTGTCAGTGGGAGGAATAGTGCCCCTATCATTGGTGTCAGTGGGAGGGAATAGTGCCCCATCATTGGTATCAGTGGGAGGAATAGTGCCCCATCATTGAAGTCATTGAGAATCTTTGTGCCACTTTGTTGGGGCACGAGTTGCATGATAACTGTACTGTCTCCCTTTATATAGTAAAAGCATTGTGCAAACTGTTAGTGCCGAATAAATCTCTCGTATAATAATAGGAAGTGATATTCTGATCATTCGTTTATCTCTTTACCCTGATGAAGTATCTAAAATGTATTTTTACTTCTGGCAAGTGGGACTGACCATCCTGAACAAGATCGAAGCTGCCCTGAACAATGAGAACCTGTCTATGGATGTAGTGGACCAGTGTCTAGTTTGCCTGAAAGAAGAGTGGATGAAGTAAGAATTTTATTTTGCTAATAGACTGCCGCTGCTTCCTCCTAGAATAAGGCCCCATGTACACTGCAGCTGATAAACGGACGTTCAGGAGCTTTTCCGTGTTTTTGTTTTTTTTTCAGCAGCCCCTGAACTCTCCCTAATTTTTTCCTATGTGTCCTGTACACATCGTCCTTTACAGGCAGTTGGGTTTACAGTTGTGTTTTTTTAATGCACCAAACTTGCACTCAGGAGTTGATTTTATCATCATGTCAAACGCTTGTAAACGCAGCAAACCGCGTTCATAAGCGTTTGCGTTTAGAAGCGTTTTTTTAACTGTTCCATATCCAGATGCTGTCCAGAGCCTTTTTTCTTCATCAGAAATGCATGTGAAGCATTTTCCATGTATTCAAATGGACCCGGTACACCAGCGCAGACAGTTCCAGGTTTCACGTGAAGGAAACAATGGTAGAACGCGCCGCATTATGCTCATGATGGGATCCATAGTGAATACAACCAGAAAAAACAGGTCATCTCAACATATACTGCTCTCTCTGCTTCTGCTCTCTCTATCTGTCTGAAATAGTTAATTTTTTACTATTTTCTCAGTGCATTCTGGGCATTTTGGAAGGTCTCCTGAGGTTATCTTAAAAAAATGCTTCTAAATGCAAACGCGCATAAACGCGGTATGCAAACGCGGCTAAACTGACGTTTTTTAACCTACGTTTTCCAGCAGTCAGTTTCCATCATTAAGAAGAGTATTCCAAACGCCTCGTGTACATGAACCCTAACATGGGCTGCCGGCATGCAGCTCCATCAACAAGTGGTCCATTCATGTGGAACAAGCCATAGGACCTGTGTGACCAAAGCCTAACTTTTTAAAATAACTAACTTATATGTTTTGTGTTGATGCCTCATAACCAGCCTTTTTCATCTAGGGTGCCCTGGCAAAATACCTAAAATTACCCAACAATTATATATTTAGCCAGCGAGTGGATCAAGCCTGCCTTTTAACCATTTCCATACCGGGCACTTTTACCCCCTCCCTGCCCAGGCCAATTTTCAGGTTTCAGCGCTCTCACACTTTGAATGACAATTGCGCGGTCATACAACATTGTACCCAAAGTAAAATTTTATCATTTTCTTCACACAACTAGAGCTTTCTTTTGGTGGTATTTAATCACCGCTGGGGTTTTTATTTTTTGCTAAATTAGCAAAAAAATGACCAAAAATTTTGAAAAAAAAAAGGTTTTTCTTTGTTTCTGTTATAAAAGTTTGCAAATAAATAATTGTTCTTCATAAATTTAGGCCGAGATGTATTCTGCTACATGTCTTTGGTGCAAATAACCCAAATTAGGATGTATTATTTAGTCTGTAGGAAAGTTATAGAGTTCACAAACTATGGTATAGATCTGAATATTGATCAATCCTGAAGTACTGACAGCCAATCTAATTTCTTGAGGTCCAAGAATATCAGAACAGTACAGATATCCCCCAAATGTCAGGACGGTACAGATATCCCCCAAATGACCCCTTTTTGCAAAGTAGACAGTCCGACGTACTTCATAAGAGGCATGACAAGTTTTTTGAAGTTGTATTCTTTTGTCATAATTTTTTGGAAAATTAAAAAAATTAGTTTCACTATTTTTTTTTTACATACTGTCACCAGTGCAGTACAGCGTCATCATATAACTGGCATGGCGGTGAACAGGGACACTGACTGGTGACAGTATGAAAAAAAATATATATATAATTTTTTTTTATTATTTTTTTATTAAATTTTTTTTTCTTTTTTTTAAGATTTCTTTTTCATATTTCACTATGACCAAAGTAGTACAATGTTACCATAGTAACATTGTACTACTTTGGGAAAGTGATCGGTATTTTTTTTTTTTTTTTTACACAATTTGCTTAAAGCAAAGAATTACTTTGCTATAAGCAAGCATTTACCTGAATGACATCGATTCATTCAGGGTTTGTTTTTTTTTGTGCTTAGCTGTGATTTGACCACAGCTAATCACATGACATGTGCATGTGATTAGCTGCTGTGACCATTCACAGCTAGACACTAGTATACAATGGATGGCATGAATGAAGCCATCCATTGTATACAACTGTCATGTGACCTGCTGTGATTGGTCACAGCAGGTCACATTGGTACCGGCAACGGGGCCGATACTCAGATCTGTCATCGGCCGTGTGTCCGAAGTACACGGCCGGAAAACAGATCGCGCAGCTGCGCCGCTCTGCAGGAGCGCAATCTGCACATGTGCGGGAGGACGCCATATGGCGTCCACCCGGAACGCTGATGACATTTGCCGCCCGCCATTCGGAAACCTATAGGGTGGGCGGCAAATGGATGTTAAGCAGAATACATAATGCCCACAGGTTTTCATTGTGCACCATTACAACCGTCTAGCCGCCAGTGTCCTAACAACCAATGATGTCATCCGTTGATAAGCAGGACATTGGGCACAGCATCCTTGTTTGCCCCTCCCCATCAGCACTCTGTGGTCACATTTAGCTGAGTGGAGAGAGAGAGAAACTGAGGGAGAAGAGAAACATTGGAATACTAGTCAGTACCAGTGTGCAAAGGCATGTTTCCTTTGCAGCCTCTAACATTGGTTGGATGTTCTCCTGTGCCTGCGTGGGTTTCCTCCGGGTACTCTGGTTTCCCTCCACACTCCAAAGACATGCTTGGTTTAGGTTAATTGGCTCCTGTCTAAATTGTCTTCTAGTATGTGTATGAATGTGAGTTAGGGACCTTAGATTGTACACCCCTTGAGGGTTAGGGACCTTAGATTGTACACCTCTTGAGGGTTAGGGACCTTAGATTGTACACCCCTTGAGGGTTAGGGACCTTAGATTGTACACCCCTTGAGGGTTAGGGACCTTAGATTGTACACTCCTTGAGGGTTAGGGACCTTAGATTGTACACGTCCTTGTAGGGTTTAGGGACCTTAGATTGTACGCCCCCTATGAGGGTTAGGGACTGATGAGAATGTACAATTTTATATGTAAAGCACTGTGTAAATTGATGGCGCTATATAAGTACCCCTGAATATAAATACATTTGTGAGTGGGAATAAATACATTTGTGGGGAAAAATGGACGTAAATTTAATTTGAGTGCAGCGTTGCATGACTGCGCAATTGTCAGTTAAAGTAACGCAGCGCCGTATTGCAACAAATGGCCTGGCCAGGAGGGGGGGGGGGGGGGCAATCCTCTGGAGGGCGAGGGGTTAATATTGGAGCCTTTCTATCTCTTCACTTTTGCAGCCGATATGCGTATGTCTTGTAACCGAGTGTCCTTTTCTCCTCAGTAAAGTGAAGGTCCTGTTTAAGTTCACCAAAGTGGACAGCCGCCCCAAAGAAGACACCCAGAAAAACTGCTTGGCATTTTGGGGGGCTTCAGAGGAGGACAACATCAAGCTGCTAAAGTTTTGGATGACGGGAACTCAGCAAGACCTACAAATCGCACCTGATGTCCAGCGTACGCAGCCTACTTCCTCCGAATGCCGGAACTGAGTTTCTCTGACTTGAGGTCCATCAAGAGCCTTTAAAAGACTGAGCATCGGCCAGCAAATTCAAAGCAGTGTTTTAGCTCCCCAAGCATGTTCGGGACTCTGCCTTCCAGAGGCCGAATTCCAGGTTTTATTTATTGCCGGAAAAATTTTTAGAAAAAAATACTCAGACACTCGCCTCTGATCATGATTGGAAAGAGTAGGAACCATACAATCGACCCGATGATTTGAGTTTTCAGCATTTGAAATACACAAATCTGCACAGTTAGGAGATGGTTTGGGACTACAAAACGCTGTGTGTAGTGTCTGCAGGGATTGAAGTCAAGTGCAGGGCCACTGGAAACTATATACCAGATTATGAACTATCCTAGTCTCCGCTACAGAGATTGTTTCCAATTGGACAACATGAAGATATTATTTATACAGGATTTATATAGCGCCAACAATTTGCTCAGCACTTTACAATATAAAGGGAAACAATACAAGAGGGTTAGGAGGGCCCTGCTCCTGGGAGCTTACAATCTAAGAGGGAGGGGCTGTTGGTACAAAAGGTAGTAACTGTGGGGGATGGACTGGTTGGAAGAGTAGAAGATTCCATTATTAGCTGAGGGCAGGATAGGATTGGATCTCTGAAAACCTAAAAGTGAGCAGAGTAGGCAATAGTCTGAAAGATTGGGGTAGAGAGTTCCAGAGGATGGGGGAGGCTCTGGAAGAAAAGCATGGGAGGAGGAGATATAGAGATTGTTTGTTTCCTATTGGACAACATGAAGATATTATACAGGATTTATATAGCGCCAACAGTTTTCTCAGCGCTTTACAATATAAATGGAAACAATACAAGAGGGTTAGGAGGGTCCTGATCTTGGGAGCTTACAATCTAAGAGGGAGGGGCTAGTGGTACAAAAGGTAATAAACTGTGAGGGATGGACTGGCAAGAGGAATAGAAGATTCCATTATTAGCTGAAGGCGGGCTAGGCTTCCCTGAAGAGATAGGTTTTCTTAGATCACCTAAAAGTGAGCAGAGTAGGCGATAGTCGGATAAATTGGGGTAGAGAGTTCCAGAGGATGGGGGAGGCTCTGGAGAAGTCCTGGAGATGAGCATGGGAGGAGGAGACAAGGGAGCTAGAGAGCAGGAGGTCGTGCGAGGAGCGGAGAGGACGGTTTGGGTGATATTTGGAGACCTATGTAAACCCTAAGGACTCATTCACACGGGGGTGTACCAATCTGCAACCACCCGAGTATGCATAGGTGTTCCATACAGGGGCGTCCTGGCTGCCTGTTGAAATCAGCAACACACAGCGGCTGCAGAGACCTCCACTCACATCCCAAATTTGTACTTCCTTGCAGGTCTGACACATGACTTGAAATGCAGACAGACTGCGTTCCAATCTGTGCGTCAGACTCTGGGATGGGCATGCAGGTCTGTGCAGCCAACCGCCTGTCATTGATTTTAATAGGCTGCCTGCATCTAAACATGTCAAAAAGTAAAAAAAGGGGCGAAACTGTATAATACATACAGTGACACCACATAGGGGGAATTTGATTTTTGTATATGCATTTGCATGATGTTCGTATGTGCGATTTCAATAAAGTTATTTTGTTAGTTAAATTGCGTGGGTCTATTAGTAGTACCTTCTGTTTTTAGGGGGGCTTTCCCTCCATAAATATTTTTTCTAGTGCCTGCACCTAATACCTGTGCATCTCAGGCAGCAGAAGATGGCCCATTGCGTGGGCCTACGTATTGGTACATCTATATGAATGAGCCCTAACAATGAACTTCTCTTTAAGAAAGAGCCAACTTGGACTCCAGTAAGATTCAGATGCTGGCAACTTTATTGTTCCTGACAAACAAAGAGTCCCACCTGGGAACTCCCCTGGCTTGTTCCACCCAAAATTTGGGCTTTATCATAGAGGTGAGGAGTGGAGGAGACATACGTACAGCAACACTCATATTTTACATCTACCACCATCATTATTACTGAAATTAGGACATCATTTTTATTGTACCGCATTTTTCGCTCCGTAAGACGCACTTTTTTCCCCCAAAAAATGGAAAAAAATGTCTGTGTCTTATGGAGCAAATATAGAGCGGCCAGCCCGGTATTCCCCCCTCTATCGTCGACACCGTTTTAGAATACCGGGCCGGCCACTCGGCTCTTCCGTGCAGCAGAACCTGCTCCTCCGTCCTGGCGGTGTCCTCATCACTGCTGGTTTTCACCGGCTGTCTTCAGCATCTTCAATGTGGGCACCCGGCTGTGACAGCTTGTGGCTTCACAGACGGGTTGCCCACTGCGCGCGCATGCGCAAGAAGCGCTGCACTTTGTGAATGGCCTTGTAGTCTTTTGGGACTTGTCACGTGTCCCAGAAGACTACGGGAAGGGAGGGACAGCTTCAGATCGCAGCGGAAATGGGAGTGGGTACCTGTCAAATTCGGGTAGCCGCTCCCCTCCCCCCTCCCCAAAGGTCTGCAGTCTCTGGTCATCTCCCGTACTGTGTCTGCAGTCTCTGGTCATCTCCCGTACTGTGTCCGCAGTCTCTGGTCATCTCCCGTAGTATGTCCGCAGTCTCTGGTCATCCCCTGTACTGTGTCCGCAGTCTCTGGTCATCTCTCCCGTAGTATGTCCACAGTCTCTGGTCATCTCCCGTACTATATCTGCAGTCTCTGGTCATCTCCTGTACTGTGTCCGCAGTCTCTGGTCATCTCCTGTACTGTGTCCGCAGTCTCTGGTCATCTCCCGTACTGTGTCCGCAGTCTCTGGTCATCTCCCGTACTGTGCCCGCAGTCTCTGGTCATCTCCTGTACCGTGTCCGCAGTCTCTGGTCATCTCCCGTAGTATGTCCGCAGTCTCTGGTCATCTCCCGTACTGTGTCCGCAGTCTCTGGTCATCTCCCGTACTGTGCCCGCAGTCTCTGGTCATCTCCCGTACTATGTCCGCAGTCTCTGGTCATCTCCCGTACTGTGTCCGCAGTCTCTGGTCATCTCCCGTACTGTGTCCGCAGTCTCTGGTCATCTCCCGTACTGTGTCCGCAGTCTCTGGTCATCCCCTGTGCTGTGTCCGCAGTCTCTGTTCATCCCCTGTGCTGTGTCCGCAGTCTCTGTTCATCCCCTGTGCTGTGTCCGCAGTCTCTGGTCATCCCCTGTGCTGTGTCCGCAGTCTCTGGTCATCTCCCGTAGTATGTCCACAGTCTCTGGTCATCTCCCGTACTATATCTGCAGTCTCTGGTCATCTCCTGTACTGTGTCCGCAGTCTCTGGTCATCTCCTGTACTGTGTCCGCAGTCTTCTCTGGTCATCTCCCGTACTATGTCCGCAGTCTCTGGTCATCTCCCGTACTGTGTCCGCAGTCTCTGGTCATCTCCCGTACTATGTCCGCAGTCTCTGGTCATCTCCCGTACTATGTCCGCAGTCTCTGGTCATCTCCCGTACTATGTCCACAGTCTCTGGTCATCTCCCGTACTATGTCCGCAGTTTCTGGTCATCTCCCGTACTATGTCCGCAGTCTCTGGTCATCTCCCGTAGTATGTCCGCAGTCTCTGGTCATCTCCCGTACTGTGTCCGCAGTCTCTGGTCATCTCCCGTACTGTGTCCGCAGTCTCTGGTCATCTCCCGTACTGTGCCCGCAGTCTCTGGTCATCTCCCGTACTATGTCCGCAGTCTCTGGTCATCTCCCGTACTGTGTCCGCAGTCTCTGGTCATCTCCCGTACTGTGCCCGCAGTCTTGGTCATCTCCCGTACTGTGTCCGCAGTCTCTGGTCATCTCCCATACTGTGTCCGCAGTCTCTGGTCATCCCCCTGTGCTGTGTCCGCAGTCTCTGTTCATCCCCTGTGCTGTGTCCGCAGTCTCTGTTCATCCCCTGTGCTGTGTCCGCAGTCTCTGGTCATCCCCTGTGCTGTGTCCGCAGTCTCTGGTCATCCCCTGTGCTGTGTCCGCAGTCTCTGGTCATCTCCTGTATTGTGTCCGCAGTCTCTGGTCATCTCCTGTATTGTGTCCGCAGTCTCTGGTCATCTCCTGTACTGTGTCCGCAGTCTCTGGTCATGTCCTGTGCTGTGTCCGCAGTCTCTGGTCATCTCCTGTGCTGTGTCCGCAGTCTCTGGTCATCCCTGTACTGTCCGCAGTCTCTGGTCATCTCCTGTACTATGTCCGCAGTCTCTGGTCATCTCCCGTACTGTGTCTGCAGTCCATTGGTTCAGAATATTTTTTTTTCTTGTTTTCCTCCTCTAAAACCTTATGGAGCGAAAAATACGGTATTTATGCATTTCTTGATTTTAAATTTCGTCTGTAATAAAAGATCTTTTAGCAGGTGTTTTTTATTATTACACTTCATCTCTCACCAGCAGAGCTTAATACATAATATACACATAAATACCTTTCACTAATGATGGTGTGTCAGAGGAGAAGATCCCAGATGGGCAGTCTTTGTTTGTCCAGCATTTGATCCTTTTCATGGTGCAGCCGGCTCTTACCTCATTCCCAACCTGGTGTGGTTTGTGAGCCCCTCTCAAGATTGAGCACCCGTATAGAGAATGACCTGATTCGGGGCTTGGGGGCGGTTGGCTCTGCATTTCTGCCAATGAACGTCTCTTTGTTAAATTTACCATTTAAATTGTTTTGTCCAGTGCTCACTTCCTGCATTATTTCAGTCTAATTAGTCCTCGCTTTTATCTTGGATTACAGAGTAAAGCTGGCCTTACACCGATCGAAAATACAGCAGGAACTGGACGAATTGTGACCAGTGCAGGGGCGGACTGACCATTTGGAAACTCGGGCACTGCCCGGGGTCAGTAGGAGGCCCCATGAGATGCCCCTGGTACCTTTTTCATAGGCTTTTTTGAATTTGGGCAAGGACACAGAGGCCCCATGATCCCCTATTGCCCGGTGGCCCCAGGAGTTGTCAGTCCACCCCTGGACCAGTGTGTCACTGTCCCTGCTGAACAGGAATCAATTTCTGTCAAAGGGACATGTTGAAAAATTTTCCATCGATCAGCAGCAATCACTGATCAGTG